CTCTCTCTCTCTCTCTCTCTCTCTCTCTCTCTCTCTCTCTCTCTCTCTCTCTCTCTCTCTCTCTCTCTCTCTCTCTCTCTCTCTCTCTCTTTCTGTCCAATGTTTGTTTTCGGTGAAACTTTTTTATCGATTGAACAAAGTTGCACATGATATCGACGAACTAGTGATACAACCTAAAAAAAAAAAAAAAAAATAAATCAACGTGATAAAACGAATGAAACGTGATGAACAACGCGTTCTTATGAACGTTTTCTAAGCTGTTATAAATATCCTTCTAAAAATACTTCGCCAAGAAGACGATGATTAAAATATGACGATTCGAAAAAACTTTATTGTATTCTTTATATTATGAAAATTATCCCTTGGAAAATTTTTTTAATAATTTCTTTAATAAAAGTAATTTCAAGTTTTAAAAATATTTTATCGAATCTCGTTAAACGCGTTAAATAATTTTCTTTTCACTTTAGCTTGAGATAAAATTTAATAAGTCTTTACTGATTTATAATCTTTTATAAAGATAAAAGATTTGAGGGCGCTTTACGCCACTGCCACGTTTTCCGCTTTATAAACGGTACAAAAATTGTCGCTATATTGACTGCAGATTTTATGCATCCTCGTATTGCATCATCAGTCATCCAGTTACTTATCGATATCCTTCGTATCACGAGAACCAAACTTCATATTCCAAAATGCTCCGCACAATTATCTTCAATGATAACTTTTTTCTACATTTTCCTTTAATCTTTTCGTAAGTCAAATTTCATAACTCCAAACTTCATTTTTCTTTGCAACAAATATTTGCCATATTTTAATTCTTCATTCAAGATCAAACACTTTTATCTTCAAAACGCTCTTTCCACGCAACCTTCTTCAATAACAACTTTCAAAACCTTGACTTGAATACTTTACGTCGCTCCCACGTTTGCCATTTTATATACAAGGATTATCACTCGTATTGCATCATCAACCATCCAATTTATCGATATCCTTCATGTCAAGGGAACCAAACTTTATATTCCAAAATGCTCCACACAATTATCTTCAATGATAACTTCTTTCTACATATTTATCCTTTCATAACTCAAATATTATTTACAATAAATATTTACCATGTTTTAATCCTTGATCCTATTCAGGATCAAACATTCCAACTTCGAAATACTTCACGCAATGATAACATTTTTCTAATTTTCTTAATCCTTTCACAAGTCAAACTTAATTCTATCAAACGTTAGCCCAAAACGCAATCTTCCTCAAAGACAACTTTCAACAAAACCTTAAAGAAGAAAATAAAGAAAAACATTAAAAACGTGAGAAAAAATTGTCGTAATTTCAATTCGTCGACCCTTGACCTTTCCTCCCCGATCCCCTCGCGTAGTCTGAACAAAAACATTTCTGTACCAGATCTGTACGAACACGTACGAAAAGGAGAACGCCTCCGGCTTGAAAGCTTGCTCGGTGAGAGGACATAAATGCAAACTCTCGTATGCAACTTTGCGGGAAGCAGGGTGGCAAGAATACGCGCGGAGAACTGAAGGGGATGTTGGTGGTACGCGCTTCAGGGCGAGACAATCGTCTGAAAAGCACTTCGCAACGTATCTGTCCTCCTCGGTTTGATTCATCGAGCTCTCTCTATATACGCGAGCCGACGACGATGACAATGATCGAGCAAAAACGGTGGGTTTTCCAAAAATTTTCCCTCCAGCTATTTTATCAATGGTAATAATAAAATTCGATCGCACTACGC